ATCTCAATACTTCTTTGGAAAGCAATCAGAAAAAAGATCAAATCAAAATGAAGGAAACCTAAGGTTCACGTGGGATACCATGAAAAGAAATAACCTTCATGTAATCAGAATTCCAGAACAGGAAGAGACAAATAAAACCACAGAGAAAGTTGAAGATTTGTTGGAAGAAAATTTTCCTGGTATGAAAGATGGGAATAAATCCATTCAAGAAGTCCAACGAACCCCAAACAGGATAGACCCCAAAAGAAAATCACCAAAACATAGCATCATCAAACTCACTAAAACCAAAGACAAAGAGAATCCTGAAAGCAGCATAGGAAAAATGAAAAATTACCTACAAAGGGTAACCAATAAGACTAAGCTCGGATTTCTCAGCAGAAACCATGCAGGCAAGTGGGAGGGTATGTCCTAATTTCACCATCATATTTGAGGGACAATTTTTTGGGGTATATAATTCTTGGTTGGAAAAAGAAAGAAAAATTTCCAACCAAGAATTATATACCCAAAAAAATTGTCCCTCAAGTATGATGGCGAAATTAGGACATTTCCAGATAAGCAGAAATGGAATTTGTTAAAACCAGACCAACCTTACAAGAGATGCTAAAGGGAGTCCTTTGGACAGAGAAGTAACAACAGCAAACAAGTGACCATTAATGCACATGATGACATAACCCAAAAACCAATCCAGCTATGGAAGTATCCAAAGTAAATAAACCTACAAGATTGTAAACAGGGAACCAGAGAGAGAGCAATTGACAATTGAGGACAACTACAAACCAAAAAGAGGGAAAAAATTGTGTAGTTAAAGAACTTTTAGATGGTAGGGAAGTCAAAACAACTGCAAGATAGAACAGACTGTTCTAAACTTAGGAAGAAAACAGTAAATTTCAGGGTTACCACAAAGAAAAACGATAAACCTTCACATCAAAATGAAAAAGGACCAGCAGAAATATTTAGCTGTAAAATGAAATTAATAGCTGTCATGGAATTATTGAGGATGTATGAGATAGTATAAGGTTTCTAGCATACTGGTTATGTTAATAAGCATCCAGTTATTTTTAGCAGCTAGTGTAGTTAGTAAGGATCTCTGTTGGCATAGTAGATAAGGCATTTGGCTGCTAACCAGAAGGTCAGCAGTTCAAACCCACCAGTTGCTCCACAGAAGGCAGATTGGGCAATCTACTTCCATAAAGATTTATAGCCTCAGAAACCTGATGGGGGTCGCTATGAGTCAAATGCAACTGGATGGCAATGAATTTGGTTTTTTTTGTTGTTGTTGTTTATTGTAATTAGTAAGGCCCTCCGATGGTGCAATGGTTAAGGCATTCAGCTGTTAACCAGAAGGCTGACAGTTTGAACCCACCAGCTGCTCCATGGGAGAAAGATGAGGCAGTCTGCTTTCACAAAGATATATAGCCTTGGAAACCCTATGGGACAGTCCTACTCTGTCTTATAGGATTGCTAGCAGTCAGAATTTACTTGATGGGTTGGGTTCATTAACTTTAGAATTAGCTAATTTATTGTTAATACCTATTAGTAAACTTTATCATTATTCTATGTTTAATTACATACCAAAGAGAAGAAAGAGTAAATTAGTAATGCCAAAGTTTTTTTTAGTTTTTTGGGGTTTTTTTTATCCCAGCCCCATGTCTTACTTTTCTCCTGGAGGACATTTCAATAATATGTGCTATTATTGTAAATAATGTAGAGCAGAGAGGTCCACACAAACCCACTATCTGTTTTGTATATAAAATCATATTGGAATATAGCTGAGCCTATTTATTTATGTGCTGTGGCTGCTTTTGTGCTATAATGGCAGAGTTGAGTGTGAAAGAGACTATATAGCCCACAAAGCATAAAATACATACTTTCTAGTGTTTTGCATAAAAACTTTGCTGATCCCTGGTCTAGACTAGATCTGGATTCCAACCAGGAATTGAAGGCCTTCAAATAATTGCCAGCATTTAACTCAGGAATGCTTGTGTTTGTTCATCTACTTTTAGTATCTTTCTGCAGTGATATAGAGGACATTGCACTGAGGCGTAATGATATACTTTCATTGATTCCTTCTTGTTCCTGCCCTCCTCCTGCACAGATCACCTTGCTGTCTGTCTGATTGGTACAACTGAGTCCATAAAGTGTGAATACTTCCACATCCAGTGGCCCTCAGACTTAGAAGCAAATATTCTTATTCATTGGATTGACATGGTGGCTGCGAGGATGGGCTCAAGTATAGCAGGGATTGTGGGGCTGGCGCGGGATCGGGCAGTGTTTCGTTCTGCTGTGCGTGGGGTCGCTATGAGTCGGAAACGACTCGACGGCACTTAACAACAACACAACAACATTCTTATTCATATCTTTCATTCCTAGAAGAGGAATTCCTTCCATTCAGAGTCTCTTGGCCTTACCCTCTGTGTTAGATTGGGTTCTCTGGAGAAACACAAAACCAGCAAAGCTTATGTATATATTTATATATAGAGAGAGAAATTTATCTTAGGAAAATGGCTCACAAACGTATAGAAGCCAGCAAGTCCAAAGTCCCTGGAGGAAACGGGCTGGCGGCAGCCTTAGCTTCCGCAAGCGCAGGGAGCCAAGAAATTCAAGGCTGGCAGGCAGCACACTGGTTGTTGACTCCAATGAAAGACGACTCCAAGATCTCCAGGCCGAGTGGTGGGCTGCTCACTCAAGGAAGTTTGTAGTCAGCACATCAGGGTTGCAATCCCTCAAAGAAGGTCTCTCTTCCCAGGATGTCCCCGGATATCTTGGAAGCAGGCCACACCCCTAGGGAAACTCCCCTTGGGCAGACTGGCCACTCAGCACACAGTCATCTGATCCCATCATGGGAACAACCACACAGAACTGGGGTCCAGCCAAGTTGACACAAAGCTCTAACTATTACACCCTCTTAATTCATCTTTTACCTCTCCCAGCTTTCAAGACCTTGCTCTGTTCTTTTTCCTCCCTTCTATTTTCAACCCACCAGCCACTCTTCGGAATGAAGACTGGGAATCTACTTCCATAGAAACACTACCTTGGAAACCCAAGGACATTTTGCTGTGAGTCAGATTCAACTTGATGGCAGTAAGTTTAGTTTTGGTTTATCTTCAGCAGTTCTCTGCTGGCTTTTTTCCCAAACTACATGAGCATGGAACGTCTTACCAGTCTCTAAAAACCATAAGCTCCTCTCTTAATTCTTTATTTTCCTGTGACTACCTTTCAGTTGTTGTTTCCTTTTATAACCAGGCTTCTAAGAAAAGTTAACTGTATAACTGATTCTACTGCTCCATATCCAGTTTCTTTGCTAAGGACAAAGTTTTCTTCTCTTGATCCCTAATTCTTGAAAAAGTATCTGATAACATAGTGTTTTTAGAATGTTTCATCAATGAATGAACACTTACGATTCACAGAATTCCAGTTAAATCTAATTATTCTTCTTTTCTAGAGGAAAAAAAAAAGTTAGGTTACTTTCAAGGTCCCAAAGATTTTTTTTTTTTTTTCATTGTGATTTGGGTGAAAGTTTACAGAGCAAATTCATTTTCCATACAGCAGTTCATACACATTTTGTTTTTTGACATTGACTACAATTCCCCACAGTGTAACAGCTCTCTTCCTACTTCCTCCCTGTAGTTACCTCTTCCCTGTGTGCTTCCCTTCCATGTACTCCAGCCCCCACCTCAGCCCTGAGCTGTCTCCCTGTGGAAATACGGCCTTTGTGTTCTCCCACAATTGATCACTCCAATGAGTGTTTTTACCTGATGTAAATAAATGTTCACCCCATGTGCCTGTCTGTTGTTTGGCTGGGAGCCACAGGGGTGAGTTCAGTTCCAGACCTGAATGGTAACTAGGGGCCATAGTTTCAGGGGTCTCATCAGGCTCTGTCAGACCAGCAAACCTGGTCTTTTGTCTTAAGATTTTCAGTTTTGTTCCACATTGTTCTCTCACTCTATCCGGGATCTCTTGCCCCAATCCCCCCCTCCAAGTACAAAGATCTTTACAGTACACATGCTGTGGTTATTTACATTGTACCTTACTGAGAAGAAATGCTTATCTTTCTTCCCTGGTTTATCGGTTAAGGTTCAGTCAGGAGGCAGAAATCACACGAGTTGTTTTACCTGAGATAATTTAATATAAAGAATTGTTAGCCGAGTATTAGAAATGGAAAAGGCAAAAAGAGAACACTGAGAGATCACACAGATAACAGGAAGCACCAACCATCCCTACAACTGCAGGGTGGAGGAAGAATGGAAAAGTTTGCAGTTGGTAAATTTTAGAAGCTTGGAGGAGCAGCCCATAGACACAGGACTCAGACTTCTGAGGAAAGGACATAGTGAGGCTGGTTCTTATGATTTGGAAGAACTGTCAAACAGAGCTAACTTCTACCCCCCAGCTTCCACTGAGGTCCCCTGTCGAGGCAAGTTTTAACAGCTGGCAAAGGAGAAATATAGTTTACAGAATGCCACCTCTACATTATGATGGCAAATGTTGGGTACATTTGAAACTGACAGACAATAGATTAATTACCAGCACTACTTTCACCAGGTGATGACTTTCACTTCTGAGTTTTAGTTAAATTTAGTGCCAACACTTAGGCTTCTGTACCTGAGGTAAATGAAGTAAGGAGTTAGTAAAGTCTTAGATGACACTAGAAATGATATACCCAGAAAAAATTTGAGGGAAGACTTTGGCAGTTTCCATTCTAAAGCTTGCTTCAGGGTAACATGGGTAATTTAAATAAATAAATAAAATTATAATTGATAGTTAACCTTGTAGAATATTGGTTTCTCTTGGGAATAACCTAAGAAACCAGAAATGCGTCAATGAATAGTGGTAGTTTGCTAACGTTCCTTAAAACTGGTTTTCATTCACTTGCATGATCAAAAGGAGGTGGGGGGAGGTATAAGTAACAGAGTACTAAGTATAAGGAGTTAACAAAAAGAAATTATATGAATAACTGATAGAAAATTTCTCCCTCTTCTTTTTTCCATTCTTCTTTTGTATAGGATTTATTTTTATCCCAAACCCCTTCCTCCCAGGTTACCAGTGGCACTGGGTGAAGCAGTGCCTTAAGTTGTATTCCCAGAAACCCAACATATGCAACCTGGACAAACACATGACTAAAGAAGAGACCCAAGATCTGTGGGAACAGAGCAAGGAGTTCCTGAGGTAAGTCTTACTGGTCACAATAAAGTGTTAATACTCAGCACTCACTTCAGCAGCATGTATACTAAAAGTGTTAATATTCAGTCGGACCATCACAGATCATTGAAGGAACTACTTTATAACAATGCAATCAAAGTAATACATTTTTTTAACTTTTTATTGTGATTTGTTGGAAGTTTATAGAGCAAATCAGCTTTCCATTCAACAGTTTATCATTGATTACAATTCCCTCAATATACCAACACTCATTCCACTTCTTCCCTGTGTTTCTCATTTCCATTACTTCTCCTTTCTTACTTCTTCAGAAGGCTTCTTGCTTCTTGCCCTTTTGACCTTGAAGGGTTAATTGTTCTAAGGAGTATTGTTCACCTTGTAGACCTATCTGTTACATAGCTGAAAATTGAGCCTTTCCAGGTGCAAAGGGTGACTAAAGGTCATAGTCTTGGGAGTTCCACCAGTCTCCATCCAACTAGTAAGACTGGTCTTTTTTGTGATTTTGGGTTTTGTTCCACATTTTACTCCCACTCTATACAGGACCTTCTAATGTGATTCCTTTCAGAGTGGTTGGTAGTGGTAATTGGGCCATGATCTAGTTCTTTGAATCTCAGGGTCCTGGAGGCTAAGGTTCAGATGGTCCATTAGTCCTTTGAACTAATTGTTTCCATATGTCTTTGATTTTGTTCACTTTTCTTTGACTGGTTTGTTTCTTTTTCATTCTTTGTTCTCACACAAATAACAGCAAAATTATTTTCTTTCCCCAGACAGCATTTGGACAGATGCTTTGACAGTTATATTAAATCAAGATCCATTTTAAGAACTTGCTTATCGTAGCTGAGATACTAGGTTCATCCTCATTAATCATCAGATGGTCCATTTGCATTCAGCATTAGCCCCTTTTTCTATGTACTTAAAGTTCCTTTGAGGACCACTAGTATCCTGAGAAAAAATAACAGTGTGAAAGCTCCTTACTTCTGTTCTAGATGAAGACAGTGCTGTAGCTGTTTTATGAAAAGTCAGTTGTTCCTCATGAGAAGAACTGATGATTGTACCTTAATGTTCTTTTAAGATTCATTTATTCATTCTACAAATATTTGTGGAGGACCAGTTATATGCCAGGCATAGTGCTAGGCATTGGAGGGAAAAAGATAAATATGACAGTGTCCCTGCCTACAAGAGTGTATGGTCAATGGCAGGAACTCAGTATCTACAAGCACAATTATAACAGAGCTCAGAAAGTGTTATGATGGATGTTTGGAAAAACACTGTGGGAGCACAGAGGAGGAAATGATTATTCTTCCAGATAGGGTGGAGATGTCAAAGAAAATAAATTATTTTTTAATTGAGTCTATTATTCTCTTTTTTCTCTCTCTCCATTTGAACTGGTCTTTAAAAATTATTAGGAATTTGCTAGTCAGAAAGCAAGCAGGCAGTTTTGGGTATAGAAAGCAGCATGAGCAAACAATGTTTGTGACAGAGTGTGTTCTATGAGCTCAGATGGAGCACAAAGTGTATGTACATTCATGTGTTTATTTACTCAACAAATGTCTGCTGGGTTTCTGCTACACGTCAAACACTATGCTGAGTATTCGAGATTCAGAGACAAATAGGACACAATTCCTGCCCTCAGGGAATTTGTAACATAATATATAAACATACAAACAGATAGTTAAATACATTTTAGCAGGTGTAGGTATAGAGATTTTATGAAATAGAGGAATACAGTAGAGGGTCACTTACGTGATGAGGTTGGGGTTACATTATGGAAAAAACTTCCTGGAAGTCATAGAAAGAATTAGCAAGAGATAACCCTGGAAGGGGAGCTCTGGTAGCATAATGCCTAAGGTACTTGACTGTTAACCAGAAGGCTGGTGGTTCAAACCCACTAGCCACTCCTCAGAAGGAAGGTTGGGCAATTTACTTCTGTAGTGATACCGCCTTGGAAACCCAAGGAGAGGTCTATGAGTCGGGTTCGACTCAGTGGCACACAACAACAATCCTGAAAGGTGGGTTGGGCCAGAGTATAAAGGGGTTAGTTGATATACAGTGCTAGTTTTAGTCAGATTGCTTGGATTGTTCAAGTCCTGACTCTACCACTTACTGCCTGTGTAATCCTGAGCAAGTTTCTTAACCTTTCTGTGCTTCCTAATAGTCCTTTTCTCACGAAATAGTTGTGAGGATTAAACAAAATGATACATGAAACATCCTTAGAACAGTGCCAGTTAAGCTCTGTGTGCCCTGTTTGGACTTGAGTAGCTCTGTTAGTACATTTTTTGGAAACTGTCATGCTGACTCTTGATGAGAAATAGAGAAGTTTTTCTTAACCTGAAAGAGAAGTTGTTGTTAGGTGCTGTCAAGCTGGTTCTGACTCAACAACCCCATGTACAACAGAACAAAAACTGGCTGGTCCTGTACCATCCTCGGTTGTTATGTTTGAGCCCATTGTTGTAGCTGCTGTATCAGTCAGTCCCGTTGAGTGTCTTCCTCATTTTTGCTCACACTCTACTTTATCAAATATAATGTTCTTTTGCAGGGATTGGTCCCTCCTGATAAGAAGTCCAAAGTAAGCAAAACAGAATTTCGCCATTCTCGCTTCTAAGGAGTACTTGGGCTGTATTTCTTCCAAGACACATTTGTTCATTCTTCTGACAGTCGATGATATATTCAGTATTCTTCATCATCACCATAATTCAAAGGCATAAATTCTTCTTTGGTCTTCCTTATTCATTATCCAGCTTTTTTGCATGCATGTTAGGCAATTGGAAAAAAAGATGGCTTGGGTCAGGTACATTTCAATGATTTTCTTCCTTTAAATCCATCTTGGTCTATATATTGGGATATAGGCAGAAGCAGTGAGCAAAACCCCATTCGTAAGCTTTCGGTACTGTCATCTTTAGAAGTAGAGGAAGGTTGTGGTTGAGTGAAATTAGCATAGAGAGCTTACAATTTTTTACTAAATTAGTCTGTATTTTTGAATAATTGATTATTTTCCTTTTGACACATGACTGTAGAAACCCCAGCTGTCGTCTTCTGAAATAACTCACACAAATCTCTTTAATAAATCATCCTGAAAATAATGGTGAGGTCTTTTTTTTTGTTCTTTGTCTAATTTCTTTTCAAAAATGTGATGGTCATACATTATAGTATCAAGAATTGGAAGAAACATATGCTCAGACACTGCTGGTGGCGTTGAAAATCAGTTTGGACCCTACTTCTCATTCTGTTACTGTCTGATGTGTGCTTTGTCTGGAAATGAGAGAATTAGACTAGATAAGTAGTTCAGGTTTGCTGAATCATGTTTCGAGTCACCTGAACAATACATGCCACTTCTCTTCCATAGTATATTAGGACAGGGGGTCTATTATTTAAAAAATTTCCACCTGGAGATTCTGATTATCTACTCTAATATCTTTCCAAAAAGTCTTGTGAGATTTTTAACTTTAGAAAGATGAGTTTTGTGACAGTGGCAAAAATAAATTGCAGAAAGCACCCTTAAGAAGTTAGCTTAATTTTCCTAGCAAAAGATGAAAAGGCCTGGAAAAGACAAATTCTGAAGACATTTCAACAGGGTTTGATGACCAAAGATGATGAAAAGTTGAAGGAGTATCCACAGATTTCGAAGTGACAGTTAGTATAATACTGAGGCTTTAAATGGAATTAAGAATTAATGGAGAAGAATGAACTACTGTACAATGAGTTAGTAGTTTGGGACATACTGTGAATCCAGGTGGAGATGTCCAGCATGCCATTGGAAATAGACAGTTGAGCTTGGGGGCAGAGTTAGGACTAGAGAGGGATATGGGAGTTACTTAAAGGTCATAGTGAAGCAGTGGAAACAGATGTGCTTTTTTAAATGTAAAACAGAGAAAGCCATTCACCCTAGTAATCATCAACACGGATGAAGAAAATAGAGCGGAAAAGGGGCACAGAATAGCTTAGAGATGTGAGGAGGAACAGAAGAAAGTGCTATTGGAAACCATGGCAGAAAGGCCTAGGATTTGACAATTAAGAGATATGATTGAAACCAAGAAGCTAGTTTTGTTAAAGTGGTATAAGCAAAAGTCAGATTGCAGTGAGAGAACAGAGCTGAGAACAGCAAATAGTGAGTCCTTTTTCAGAAGCTTAATTGTGAAGGAAAGAAAAGCTATGGCGTAGAGAGGTGGGATATAAGCGGCTTAGCTTGAGTGGGAGGTAGAGTGGTAAAATGTGTTTTGTTGTTTTTTCTTAACGTGGAAGTACTGAACGTGTTCACAGGTCAGGAGGAAGAAACAAGTGCAGAGGGAAACTTGAAGGTATAGGAGAAGAAAGATTGTTAATGGAGGAAGGCTTCGGATGCTGTGTCAGGGAAATGGGATCTAGTTGGGGTACGGAATTAGCCTTGGTGGAAAGAAGTACTTCTGAAACCAAAGGCGAAGATGGGTGAAAGATGTAGAGATACTTAGAGAAAACTTGAAATTGTTCACTGGATCATTTGATCAGGCCTTGATTTTCTTGTTGACCTAGAAAGGGAATAAGAGCAAGACTGAGAACTTGAGATAAATGGTGAAGGTTTAGAACAGTAGCTGGAGGGTGAGATGCAATTGAATATTTGCAAGATAGCAAAAGGATGTTAGCAGGTAAGGTCCCAGTGGAGTAATTGCAGTGATTGATTAAGAGGTTCAGGTTCAGAAGGGAGAGGAAACAGGCAGCACTCAAATAACTGAAAGAATGGGATTCTCAGGACAGGAGACTGATGTTCAGATTTGGTGGAAATGAGAGTATAGGAAAGGAAGGAGGACAGAAAGGCCTGACCATGGAGAGAGATACTTCCATTCAGAGTTGTGAAGGACACAATTCCCAAGCCTTTAAAAATCAATGAAAAAATTAATATCAGGAGTTGGATTTTGAAGATTTTTATCATAAACAACTTTCAGGCTTTAATCTGTCCTAAGTGAGTAGTTTTGCTTTCACAAGGACTCACTCATATCCTTTGCAGGCAAAGAAAATACTAGTGCTTAGTTGTGGCA